GTTTAGTCTGGGAAGGGATAGAAGACCAGGTTGGGTCCAATTGAGAGGAGAGATACCATTAATGGCAGTTACTTACAGTTCTTAGGTTTGCTTATCCAAACCTTAGGATGCAAAGGCCGAGTACAAAGGCTTTGTGGTGTTCAGATTGTTGATATATGTACACATATATGATGTGTCTGTTTTTTAATTGTAAAAATTACTCGCAATAAAACAAATTCTTTATGGCATATTATCAAGTCTAAAATTAATTTTTATTTTAATTTAGAGAAAGATTTCGTTTGATGTGATTGTGTTCCAATAGCATGAAAAAAAAAAAAAAAGTAAATAAAATAAACTTAGATCAAAGGAAGAACTAAGGGCTTGATTTCACCACGAACCTCATAATATGATTAATTGACTCAACTTTAAGGATTTCATTATTTATTCATGATCAAGAATTAAATGAATTAACATTCTATTCAATTCAATTTTAAGAGGATAAATCATGAATGTTTGTTAAGCAATAACCTATCTTCGGTTAGCACGAATTATCTACCTACCTATTCTAAACTAATTTACAGAATAATTCGTCTTCCCTAAACTTAAACTATCAAAACACTCATTCATAAAAACGGTTTAAGCATCATTGCATAATCGTTATTCTTATTGTCATGAGAAGCCCTTAGCCACAAATTTCAAACAATAAGAATAGTTTGAATTTTGTTAAAGAACAATTAATTCTAAGACAATATATTAATTTTATCAAAACCAATTTTATTTTGTTAAAAACTCAATTGCTTAGAAGATCTAAGTCAATTGCTCATAATCATACAATCAATTTACACAAATACTAAAAATCCCTAAAGTAAAGAACAATCAAACCATATTAATCGGATTCGGGTTATATCAATGCCCTGAGAGAGGTTTTAGCTACTCATGAAGATGGAAAATATCATCTTTGTTGGTTTGGAAAGTATCTCCATGGACTGCAACTCCTCTTCTTGGGATCTTTTTCTTCAATCTTCAAGGAGAACTCTAAAAACCCTAAAAGCCGCCATTAGATCTAAAGAATTACAATAGAGATTCTTTGTTGCTTTTGACTTTCTTTTATAGAAACAACTGACTTCTATTCCTTCTTAGATGGGCTTTAGGACTTCTGAAGTCATCTGAGCCCGTCTGGAACTTAAAATGATATTTTTAGAATTAACCCTGCACTTTTGGAAAGTTTCCTGAATTGATAATGCTCGAGCACAAATTCTTGTGCTTGAGCTCTGCAGCTTGTGCGCGAGCACAAATTGTGCTTAAGCATAAATTCTATACTTAACCAAATTTCCATCAATTATTTTTGAAGCGTCTTTTCTTCAACACTTGGCATTTTTTCTGGTTTTTCTTGAATTTGTGCTTGAGCAGAAATTACAATACATAATCCCAAAAATTAAAAATAAGGGTTTAATTACACAAGCTTAGGGCTCATCCAAGACCTAAGTAAATAACTAGCCACTCATAGAAAAGGTAAATGTCATCATGGTGGTCTCACAATCCATCTCCAAGTTTGGGTTCATCTTCTTCTTCTTTTTTCTTGAGAGAAACCCTAGAGAGAGAGAGAGTAAATCTAGAATTTCTCCTTACCTATTCAATTCCTAAATGTCCAACCCTTGTAAAAAAAAATGGTCCAATCATGTATTTATAGGTGACTCTTGGAGGCCAAAATGAGTTAAACCCAAACATTTAAGTCAGGCTATCTCGTTGACCCTGGCTCCGCGAAATTGGGGCCCAAAACGAGCATTAAATGATTCTGCCCGAAGCATGATCGAACGTGTTTTTGCCAGGATCGATCGTGAATTATGCTGGCCATGATTGTTCATGACTTTGCCAAGGTTGATCATGATTTCCCAGGATTGATCGTGAATTCCTACTTGGCTATTTCTGGAGCTTCCCCTTTTCGCTGCATTTTGCTCAACTCCAAAAAAACTTTAATGCACTGGAATGAACCATTTTCTAGTGCAACAACCTGAAAATGACAATAATGCAAATAAGTACTAAACAATGAATAAAGATAGGGCTAAAGTGCTAACAATCATAAGAATAAAGGCCGAAATGTGTATATTTTGGCACTTATTAGTTGTGAGCAATTGATTTAGTATTCCTAAGCAATTGGGTTTTCAATGAATATAATTGGTTTTTGATGAAATTGATTTCTTGTCTTAGAATTAATTTTACTTTAATCAAACTCAAACTATTTTTATTGTGAGAGATTGGTGACTAACGGCTTCTCTTAACTGTTTAAGAAGTGATCATGCAACGGTGCTTAATTGAATATGTATGAATGAATGTTTTGATAATTTATGTTTAGGGAAGATCAGTTATACTACACCGTAGATTAAAGTAGTTAGGTAGATAGTTCGTGCCATTACTTAATGTTGATTCATCCATTATCTTCTTAAATTGAATTAGAACGTACTTGTAGTTATTCAATTCCTGAGTATACATAAAAATGAATTCCCCATAGTTGAAGTAATTGACCATGTTACGAGGTTAGCGGTGAAGTCAAGCCCTAAGTTCTTCTTCCCTTGATCTCAATACTTGCTAATTTAGTTTACTTTTCATTTTAATGCAATTTAGACTTAATCAAACAACAAAATCATCTTTTCATATAATTAGATTATGATTAATTTTATACTTAAAAATCCACCACAATCCTTGAGGTTCGACACTCTTAATATAGCTTTATCCTACAAGGATTCGTTCTATTGCGAGTAGTTTTTATCATTGAAAAACAAACACATCATTTTCCCCAATAATTGAATGCAATTGGTATAATTACAAGGGCTTAGAGGTGAATTCCATGTCCTAAGCCCCTCTCTCTCTCATCTGCTTTCACTTGATCATTAAATATTCTCTCATTGCATTTTTACTTAGTTTAATCTTAGCATTAGTTTTAAACAAACCAATCACTATCCTTTTGATCTCACGTTCATTGATGTTAAATTTGATTCAAGCCTATAGTCCTCGTGTTCGATCCTTTACTTCTTTATATTGCTAAAGTAGTGGAATAAATTTAAAATTGATTCCTAACCTACAAACTACACTTGAATTGAGAAACGCATCAATTTTTGGCGCCGTTTCCGAGGACTACAATTTAATTGCTTTAATTTTAAGATTAATGTTCATTTGATCGAATTTAAGGCCATTTTCAGGGATTTTTGACCTTACAGTTAGGGGTGGCAACTAATGTTGGCGTGTCGTGTTCGTGTTGACACAATTACGACACGAATACGATTAGGGTCAACACGAACATAACACGATTATTAATAGTGTCTAAGACACTTGACATGAACACGACACAATTATTACACGTGTAACACGACATGACACACATAACCTGTTTAATGAATGGGTAAGACTTTACACTACATAAAAAACACGTTTAAATCATTTTTGACACGAACACGACATGTTTAGCTAAATTGGTCATTTTTTACACGAACATGACACATTTAGTTAATCGGGTTAATTGTGTCATAATCGGGTTTATAGGTCCAACACGAACACGACACGTTTAGTTAGCGAGTCAATCCGTGTCGACACGATTACGACACGAACACGATTAGCCTAAACCCAAACCCTCTTATCTCGTGTCATGTTAACATGTCGTGTCAAATATTGCCACCCTTACTCACAGTGACCTCATACATCTTATGTGGCACATTTTGTCCTTTAGTGAAGTCTGGAATCCCATGCACAGTATTGATTTGTTTGCATTGCCCCTAGGAGTGGAAATTAGGTCGAAGTGGCCCCGGACTGGAACATGGCCAATATTATAATGGTTTATAAGGTTTTTGGACCCTATGAATCCAATGGCGATGTCCATTTGTCTATTTGACCCTTCGGAGAAAATTAAAACCTCGAAATTGACTGTTTAGTCTCTACCGTAAAGATTTAGTCAAAGGTGGAGTCAGGATGGAAGGTAGGCAATATTACAGTGTTTTTTTTAAGGTTTTGGACCTTCTAAGCACAATGGTGAAGTCCGTGGGTGAGTTTGACCATCGGTATGAAAAGTCAAACTTGGGGTTGATCGCGGGCCCCGCTGAGGGTTTTGGTCAAAGTGAGTGATGGAGAAGGGTAAGGACCTCTAGGAGAGATGTACCCTAGTGTTTTTGGGTGTTCTGAACTCGATGGTGAATTCCGTTTGTCGTTCTAACAATCAGATCCCAGGGTTGTAGTGTAAAATCTTAATTTTGCCATTTTCGAGGAAAGTGTGTGATGTGGCCTATCAAAATGTTTTCTTGTTATGTGATTTAGAACTGTGATGGTGAAGACAGTCTGGTTCTCTGTTCTCAATTTTCTATCACAAATGGGCCCTACTAGAAAATGGTCTCGGGAGATAGAAACGTGGTTCCTTCTCAAAGTCTAGATAGTTGGTGGGGAGGGCAAAAATTGGAGTGTCTACAACCCTTTAATTGTTGAGACTTGAAATGACAACCCCAATAAATTGGCTTAAGTGGGAAGTCACTCGGCCCTATTGTAATAAAATAAGAATTTACTCTATTAGTAACTTAATTTTGTTTAGTGACTACCCAATATATTTTTGCATATCTCGTATTTGTAATATAAACTAAAAAATCAGTTGTCTAATAATTTTTTCCAGATTTTATTATGACAAAGAGAATTTTTTTTTTTTTTTTTTTTTTTTTTTTTCCCCCGAAGAAGAAGAAGAAGAAGAAGAAATGGTAAATTTTTACAAGGCTTGATTGTTTTTAAGATCCAATAGATCAATAGCAGATTGCACCGAACTTCACATTTTAGGTAAACGTCGGTTTGTATTGTTTAATTCGAAAATTACGAGCTTTTCATTATTTTTTAAATCATTTCATGTAATGCTCCATAAGGTTAAATGGTAATGATTGTTCCGACATATCTTTGATGAGGGGATCAGTGCACAAAATTATTTGATTTTGAAAACATTACGGAGGAGATGTATCTCAAACTCTCAATGCCAAACCATATGCCAAAACCGATAAAATAATAATAATAATAATAATAATAATAATAATAAATAACTAAAAAGTAGAAATTAAAATCAAAAGGCAAAAAAAAAAAAAATTCCCTCCGTATCCTGTTCTATACTACGGAGTACTAGTATTAATATACCTACAAGACTAGAAGTCTGTTCTAAAAAAATGCTTTCCCTATTATCTTTCGAGCATTCTCAGGTGTACTTCAACATGGAAACTACTGCAATGGCCACATACACATGAATAATGCATGTTTTGGTGCAAACTGGAACTGCATCACATACTTTAAAAAGTTATCCACCATCAGAACAATATCCTCTCTTGATAAATATCCAACGCTTGGATGACCTTCTCTATCAACAATTTCCTGTGCAATCTATACCTGCATATATGCACATGTTTAACCACTAAATTGAATAAAAAAAATATCACCAAATGAAGAAACTTAGGAACCAGTAAGTACTTGATTGCTGCTTCAAGCGTCCTCCTAGCTTGTGGCATAGAATCTGTCAACAGTGAATACAAAGGGACAGAAAAGGAAAAAAAAAGAAAAATTAGACATGAGAAAATCAGGATTCCACCAATATAAACAAATCATATTCTCCTCAACTATTTCTGCTTCGTTTACCACCTTACTTTCTGATCAGATTGCACTTGAGCCAGGCAAAAGGAGAAATGTGTAAAGTTAGAAACCAGCATATAATCTTTCAGCCAGACCCAAAGAGCAAAAGACCGAAACTGAAGCCCTCAATACTATTTGATACTTTCAGCAAGTTGACTTGTCTGCAATTGCTGAACCAACTCAATTATAACCAAGTTTCAAGTTAAACTGACTAAAAACTCAATAGAACATATCCTTTCAAGTTTTTGACTACTAAATTCAAGTCCTACTTTCATAGTGTAACAGTAGAGCCTTAAGTGTGAAGACTTGAATTCACCATCTTTCATGAAAATAAGGACTTTGCTAGCTTTTCCAAATATAAAAAGAGACCAACTCTGTCAAAACCCTTTTTGGACAAGGAAGATTTGAAGCATCAGCTACCAGAAGGAAAGAAAAAAACAGAAGAGAACTTTGACACATCCTTGAAATCATAATAAAATTACCCAAAATTTTCTGGTCTTGCTCAGAAGTTGTCGAGAATTCTACAAGCATCCGTTGGCATTCTTCCTGTAACTCTTTTACGGCTTTCCTTTCTGTGCTTGGGACTGGAGGGACATCCCCATCTGACCAAGTGGGCAATGTTCTTGCAGCTGCTATGACTGCTCCATCAACAAAACTATCTCCATTGCTTGATAATCGACCTGCCATGGGGATTTTATAAGAAAGTTACGTTAGTAACCAATAAATATCACATAAGGACCACATTTGTAAAGAGAAACGATATGCATCCCATACTGTTATGATAATAGTCTTTAGGAAGGCCAGAAATATTGAAGACTGACAAGAAGGAATCCAAATGAACCCGTGCATTGCCAGAGAACTGGATGACATCCCAAGGATTCTGCAAGTTTTTAATTCAGAAATACCAGGATATTAATCCAAGGAAAATATCAGCAACTGTTACAAGATTGGATTTAATGTGCCAAGGATCACAACCCAAGAATTCTGCAAGATTTGCTCAAAATAGACATGCCTGATGTTCACTCAAGAAAAAAAAGCTTTACATGACAAGAAAAATGGTAAAAATTGATTTCTTATCTTATATCTTATCTTCTTTCCCCCCCCCCCCCCCCCGCCAAAAAAAAACCAAAAAAAAGGGGTTTAAAACCGACCAACTCCATAATTGAGTTGTTTAACACCAGATGTTCTTCAAGTCTATAATGTTTCAATAAACAGAATGTACGTAGTCAATGTCATCCTTTACATTTGGCTTTGTAGTAGATAAGAGCTACAACACAAATATTGAGAGTTAACCACAATTGATACTTTTTCATGAAGAGAAAATTAAGATGCTCCAACAGTATTTACCATTTAATTTCACATTTTCACTTAAGAACAGTGATCCCAAGGGTGGGCCTTAGCGTCGTCGTGGTATCAATTGCTCTGATACCAGTTGTTGCAAAACAACTAGATGCTCTGATCCCAATTGTTGTAGCGGAAGCACGAACAACAATGTCCGATGAGTAAAACACAAACAAAGCAATCATGAAGAAAAAAATAGACGATCACACAAGAACACAAGATATACGTGGTTCACCCAAACTTTGTGTTACATCCACAGAGCACACCGAACAATTTCCCTATGAAAAGATGAAGGATTACAATGGAGAATTTCCTGTCAATCTCTCTCTTGCTCTCTCTTGTGTAGGCAAAATGATCTCACCCCTCTCGTCCACCTAGGGTTGGTACCAAAACCCAATATATATAGTGAAACAACTTGACCCACAATTTTTTGGCTGGAGCACTTATGCACAGATTGAAGGCTGGAGCACTTACGCGCAAATTGGAGGTTGGAGCACTTGTGCACAACTTCATTTTCTTCACGGTCACTGTCTTGATCAACATGTCAGCCGATTCTCGGTGTCAAGTATCTTCTCAAGTGTCAACACCCCATCTTCTAACAATGATCTAATAAAGTGATACTGAAGTCCTATATACTTGGTCCTTAAATAAAATGCTGAATTCTTCACCAGATGTAAATGTACAAACATTCTTCACCTGCTTAAATTCCAACTCTACCAACAACCCTTGGAACCAACCCATCTCTTTGCTGGCCTCTGTCACTGCCACATACTCTGCCTCTGCAGTTGGATAACACTACAATCTTCTGTATTTGAGAAACCCAACTAATTGCAGATGTGCCCACGTGAAAACTGTTGTTAGGGGCTTATTTGTTATTACTGATATAATGTTGGGTGCTTATGTATAATTTTTTAAACTTGTTAGTATAAATAGAATGTGATGGAAGGATGAAAAAATTCTTTCATTCTTTCTCTCTTTCCCCATCTCTTTCTCTCTTTTTCTCTACTCCTCTTTCTTCTCTTCTTCTACTTTACTATCATTTTGATTATCTCTTAAAGTCAACATGGTATTAGAGCATGGTTTGTAAAGCTCTAGGGTGTGTAATTGGAACCCTGGGTCAAGTTTGTGCCCTATGCAACCCCCAACTAACTTAGCACGGAGTTGGATCCGCGGTATATGTGGTGCCTGTGTCTACTCCTTTTTAACACTAATGATTTGTAGCAGGAAAGCAGCCAATTGTTTATACTAGGAGGGCAAAACAAGTCATTGACTCACCCCAGGACCAAGAAGTCTCCCTCGATCCAGGTAATCCCTCACTTGCCAATGATATTCCTGATTCTTTTCCTAATAGCATTCATGTTGATCTTGATGTCCCTATTGCCTATCGTAAGGGTGTTCGTAGTTGTACAAAAATCCCATATCTCAGTTTGTATCCTATGATACCTTATCTCCAATATATTGTGCTTTCACTTCGTTTATCTCGTTTGTTTCTGTTCCTTCTAGTGTTTCATATGCTTTTAGTCAAACTCCATGGAAAGCTACCATGCTTGAGGAAATGAAGGCATTTGCCAAGAATGGTACTTGGAATATTGTTTCATTACCTAGGGGTGAGAAACCAGTAGGCTGCAAATGGGTCTACATAATAAAGTATCATGCAAACAAAACAATTGAGAGATATAAAGCCCGGCTAGTTGCAAAGGGCTTCACTCAGACCTATGAGATTGATTATCTCGAAACATTTGCTCCAGTTGCCAAGATGAATTATATACGTGTCCTCCTTTCTTTGACAGCTAATTTGAATCGGCCTTTAAATCAGCTGGATGTAAAGAATGCTTTCCTTTACGGTGACTTGGAGGCGGAGGTGTATATGACTATGCCACCGGTGTTTAAGCTTGCCAATGGTAGGAATTTAGTGTGCAAACTAAATAAAGCCTTGTATGGGTTAAATCAGTCCCCACATGCTTGGCTTAAGAGGTTCGGCACTGCTGTGAAAAGAGTAAGGTACACACAAAGTCAGGCAAATCATACTCTTTTCATCAAAGCACAGGTTGCACCAGTGCCTGGCCATATTGTATATGTGGATGATATTGTTATCACTAGAAATGACCTAGAAGAGATTCATCGAATGAAGTCATTCTTGGGGATCATTGAGATACTTTCTTGGCATCGAGGTGTGCATATCCAAAAAAAGGGTGTTCATTTCTCAACAAAAGTATGTGTTAGATTTGTTGGCTGAAACCGGCAAGCTTGGAGATAAACCTATTTATATTCCCATTGAGCAGACCTATAGGCTTAACGATGTGGATGGCGACCCATTAGATGATGTGGAAAGATTTCAGCGATTGGTTGGGAGACTAATTTACCTATCTCTCACGCGCTCGGATATTGCCTACTTTGTTAGTGTGATTAGTCAGTTTATGCATGCCCCATGTACACCTCATCTTGAGGCAGCTCATCATGTTCTCCGCTACCTCAAGGATTCACTGGGTAAGGGGATATTGTTTGGCCGTCATGGCCAGTTGCCTATTTCTTCTGTTCTTCTTCATCTTCTTCTACTTTAGTATTATTTTTATTATCTCTTAAAGTTAACAAAAACATACCCGTTACTACTTCTTCTGTGATCACCAACAAAGTTTGCATCTACATACCCATGTAGCTTCACGAAACATAGGTTTATATTTGTGGTACCCTGTAGATATATCAATATCCACAACACTCCTTCCCAGTGTAGCTTGCATGGATCTTTTATAAACCTACTTACTTACACAATTTCTCGTCGTATGGACACCATTAAATACATCAAACTTCCAATGGTTGAGGCATATGGGACTCTAGCCATAAAGTTCCTCTCATCATCTGTCTTAAGACACTAATCCTTGGATAATCAGAAGTGACTAGCTAAGGGTGTACTCACCGCCTTCGCATCACTCATGTTGAACCGCTTCAGAACCTATTCAACATAATCAGCCCAAGACAACTGCAAAGTACCTTTTGCTTGTTCCTGTTAATCCTCATCTCAAGAATCTAATTCGATGTACCAAGATCTTTCGTCTCAAGCTCACTAGAAAACTACTTCTTCAACTTGCTAGTTTCTTCAAAATCAGATCTTGCCACTAAAATGTCATCAACATAAAGCAAGAGAATGATGTAACTTGACTCAAACCTTGAAGTAGCAGCACTGGTCAGCGTTGCACTTGTTGTAGCCATGTCGTTGTATAAACATTAAACTTTTTATATCACTGCCTCAGGTCTTGCGTCAAATTATACAAGTTTTTCTTCAACTTGTACACTAGTTTCTCCTTCCCTTTAAATTAAGAAACCCTCCGGTTGTTGCATGTAGATCTCCTCCACTAGGTCACTATGGAGGAAAGCAGTTTTCATATCCAACTACTAAAGGTGCAATCCTTCTACTGCAACAATGTTAAGAACTAAACGAATGGTATTCAATTTCACAACTAAGGAAAATATGTCAATTCCTTCCTTCTGCCGAAAGCCTTTGACCACCAACTTTGCCTTAGATTTCTAAGAACCATCATATTCCTCTTTGACCCTGCACACCCATTTGTTCTGAAAAGCTTTCTTACCCACAGGCAACTTGGCTAGTTCCCATGTCTTATTGGAGATAAAGGACTTCATCTCATTTCTCATTACAAGATCCCACTTGCTAGCATCTTCAACCTAACATATACTTCCGATTCGGTACATGAGGACACGTGGACCTTTGAGGTGCAGGTGTAGGAGTTAGACTCTGCGGTGCACTATGCTCGGTGAGTTTTGGCCGTGAACCCTCAAGTGTCTACTCTACCATCCTACTCTCTCTGGAACATCCAACTCAACATACTTAATATTACTCTAATACAGGACTAGTTGACTGTGTTGCATCCCTATCCTTGTACATCATTTTCTTGTTGAAAACCACGTCTCTACTACTGATGATTTTCTTCTTCTGGTTATCCCAAAATCGATAATTAAATTCATCTCCACCATACCCAATGAAGATGCACTTTAGTGACTTGGGGTCGAACATTTCCCTAGCATGGTCACTATTGCATATGCAGTACAACCAAAAACATTTAACCATGAAAGATTTACCTCCTTGCTGCTCCGAACTTGTTCTGGTATCCGATACTCTAACGGCACTAATAATCCACGATTAATCAAGTAGGATGTACCAACTGCTTCTACCAAAACTATTTGGGAAGACCCGAATGTCTGCACATGGTTCTGCCTTTCTGTGTCAATGTTCGGTTCATCCGTTCTACCATCTCGTTCTGCTGTTGTGAGGTCCAGTTTCATTTCCCATTTTTTCAGTATTTTTCCTTATTTTCTGTGTATTTTGTGCATGGGTATACGTGCCATGTGGGTCACAAGAGTCATTTAGATCGTTTCTTCGAGTTCCAGACTCATAGAAACGTATTTATGATCATTTGGTGCATTTTGAGTTTTCGGGCCAAAGAGGTCCCGTGTGGGCCAGGGGACGGGTTTTCGTGTTCGGGAATTTTCCCGATTTAATTTCGTCATCTTTTTTTTATGCAAATTAATGTGATCAATTGTGACTAAGTGCATTTGTTTTAGTGTTGTGTGCACATATATAGCATGGAGGGCTTTTCAGAGATGTTAGTGCACAAATGGGACCTCCCTTTGACCAAGACTTGTACACAGGTGGGTAAGTCATTCTTTTTTTTGATAAGTAAGAATTTATTAAAAATGCTCAAAAAGGAAGCGAAGCCCAAAGAAACAAAAGGGCCAAACGGCACCTTAGACCTTCAGAGAGGCCAAGAAAACAATAATTTCCTCCATAGATCTATAATCTCTCCCTAAAACCCAACAAAAAAGAGTAGAAATAACAGAGAACTTAAGCATAGAAACAGGCTTCTTTTTTTCGTCAAAATATCTCCTATTTCTCTCAAGCCAAATACACCACCAGATACAAAGCGGCGTAGCCCTCCAAGCGTCCTTAATGCCAGCCCCAACAGAGACGCCTCTCCAAGCCTCAATCAACCCTCTAGAGGAAAAAGGCATGGCCCAATGGACCCCAAATAATCGAAGCATCAAATCCCAACAATCTCTGGCCATGCTGCAAAAATTTGATATTCTCTCTTCTCTCAGCCGTATCTTCTCTCTCTCTCTCTCTCTCTCTCTCTATCTTTCCTTTCTTTTTCTTTGTTTATAACTTTTACATGCTTAAGAAGATGAGGGTTTGATCTAATTAGGCTTGGATTTTGAGGAGACCATAGAAGGGAAGTTTAATGAGCACAACAAGAGCTACGCACCGGTGATCTCAGATTTCATTTCGGAGAAGTTTGCACCTTGACTCATTTTGGGGTTTTGCTTAGATTTCGAGGTAGGGGTGTTTAACTAGCAATTTCATTTAGTTGTGTGGGCATTTGAAGTGTTTTTTTTTTTTTTTTAGTATACCTTGAATTATCGACTTTGTATTAAATGAATTTCGTTGCTGGAAATTGAAGTTAATTGTTGGAATTTGAATGTATTTGCTGGAAAAAGAATTTCTTTGCAGAAAATTGAATGTATTTTCTGGAAAATGAATTTAATTGCTGGAAATTAAATGTATTTGCTGGAAAATGAATTTCTTTGCTGGAAATTGAAGTTAATTGCTGGAAATTGAATTTCTTTGCTGGAACTTAATGTTGATTGCTGGGAATTGAATGTATTTGCTGGAAATTGAATTAAATTGCTGAAAATTGAATGTATTTGCTGAAAATTTATATTTAATTGCTGGAATTTATTTTTATTTGCTGAAAATGTGATTTAATTGCTGGAATTTATATTTTAATGCTGGAATTCATATTAAGTGTTGACAATTATATTTAAATGTTGGAAATTGACGTTAGTCGTGTTCTAATGTTGAAATAAGGTTTGATTAGATGCATATTCATTCATCACACATGCATTATGTGTGGGGTGGTGGTTGATTTTCCCAAGTTTGTTGGAAAAATGATTTCGATAACGGGTGACGGGGAGACTGCTCCGCATTCAGGTGTGTTAACTAGCCTAGAGGGGTACGGGGAGAGTGATCCGTATATGGTTGAGTTATCTAGGCCCCAAATAGTGTTGGGGAGACTGCTCCGCATTCAGGTGTGTTAACTAGCCTAGAGGGGTACGGGGAGAGTGATCCGTATATGGTTGAATTAACTAGGCCCCAAATAGTGTTGGGGAGACTGCTCCTCACCAAGGATAGTTATCCAATTTCCCTCGTGGTGACGGGGAGACTGCTCCGCATCGGGTGATGTTAACAGGTTTTTGTGTGGGTTGAGTTGGGTGGCGGGTATGGTATGTGTGAGTTCACCATTCATAACATGCATTCTAGTTTTGAATAGTAATTGCTAAATACTAAATACTATGGATATCAACAATTAAAATTTCTCTAGTTAATTACTTGAGATTCTCATTCTTACATTACTCATTGCTCTTGTGTAGTCGACTTCAATTTCCCTCACCTAAGCATGATCCCTCCTCCTTCCTTCCTTTGCTTACTTATATGATTTCTCGAGCATGACTCACATAGCTATAGGAAGTGTTAGTTAACCACTTTCTACTGGGCAAGTGTTGATCACCCCATTAACATTTTTAGATAATGGAAAGGAAGTGGTGGGGATCCACAACCACAAGCTTAGAGACTTCTATTGTAGCTTTTGGATTGTCTTTTGTCGTGTCTAGTCCATTCCTCATGCTATTTTTGCCAAATGTTACATATAGTTAGTAATACCAACTCTTAATGAAATCTTTGGTGGACTAGTTATTGAGATGTAACTATATTTCTTTTGGAAGGACTTATGTTCAATTGGCATGCATATTTTTGGACAACTCTCTTATTTTGTATCCCTTGTATGTATATGGGATATGGGTATATCAATGGATGTGAAAGGGATCATTTTGGCTAATTCATGTGTATATGTATGCTATGTGATTTGGGTGTTGTATTAGGATGTTTGGGACATGTTATTGGCACTTTACATGATCATTTGACCCCTAGCTTGATAGTCGGACTTGGGCAAGAGTCCGATTTGTATTCATCCCCGTCCATGACTCGGATCCTATGGATTTGGAATTTGATCACATTCTCAAAATAGAACTTCTTGAACCCGGTGTCTTCATACTTACCACCGTTGTCTGACCTCAACCTCTTGATTTTCAAACCCGTCTTGTTATTCACCATGGCCTTCCACTTCTTAACCACCTTATACACCTCGGATTTGTGCTTCAAGGAATAGACCCATACCTTCCTTGTGTGATCATCAATAAAGTCACAAAATAGGACTTTCCACCAATAGATGAGATGGGGGTTGTCCCCAGACATTTGGGTAAACTAGCTCAAGGCTATTCTCCTTGTAAATTCTGTCACTCTTCTTAAAACTCACCCTCTTCTGCTTGCCCATCACGCAACTCTCACAGAAGTTCATATCAATTGCCTTGAGGCCTCTGATAGTTTCCTCTTCGAGTGCATAATCTTGAGCCCCCTTTCACTCATGTAGCCTACCTTCTAGTGCCAAGGTTGTGATCCTCCTTATTTTATGCAACTGCTATCGACCTACATATGTAGAGAGTGCCAGCCTTCTTCCCACATGCAATGATCAGCACCTCTAGAAACCTTCCACGAGTCTCCATTAAAGGTTGTAACATAACCTTTTGAAAACGGTCCCATCGAAATCAAATTCTTCCTGAACTGAAGGATGTGTCTGGCATCCTTCAATTTCCATACAGACCCACTTAAATAATCTGCACTTCACCCTTGCCAACCACGTTGCAGGCCTGGTCATTGCCAAGATACACCTACCAAGGTTACCCGGTGCGTAGCTATCGAATAGCTCTTTGCTTGAGGTAGCATAAAACGATGCACCAGAATCCAATACCCATGACTCGGCATTGCTCTCCAAAGAGCATATCAATGCATCATTTGATTCTTCTGAGATCACGTTTGCTTATGTTTTTCCTTCAGTTTATTTCTTCAAAAATCTGCAATCTCTTCGATAATGACTGTTCTTGCCACAATTCCAATAATTAGCATCTAAAATCTGTGGAATTTCTGGGATTTCGAGACTGTGACCTTTCATTCCTAGACTTATATCTGCCACGTCCATTATCGTTGCCTTTCTTCTTGTTAGAAACCTTGCCTTTCAACATTCAATATTGAACCACTGGTGGAGACCCCTTCTTGTTTGCCTTTTGATTTCTTTAGTCAGAATCATGCTAACAGTCTCATTGAACTTCAACTTAAGACTCCCTGCACAGCTACTATCACCGTAATTGTGCCACTACGACTCCCAAGTAAATACCCTAGAATTAGCAATGCTCGGACCTCATCTTTGAATTTGATTTCAACAGACTTTCATTGGCTCACAATGAGTCTCATTGAGCACATTTAGATGCTTGTTGACTCTCCCACCTTCGGCCATCTTCAAGTTGAACAACTTCTTAATCAAGTGTACCTTATTGGTTGTAGACATCTGTTCATACATACTAAAAAGGCTTGCCGAGGAGTAAAACAATTACTTATTTTCTTTTTCACTTAATTAGCAAGGAACATAACCACCCACAACCTGATTTACTTGTAATTTTAAGAAAAATGCACCACTATTTCAATTTACATAACAATGTGTACAATATAAAAACAGAAAATGAATGTTAAAATGAATAATTTTCTGTTTGCAAAGTGTAGAGCTAAGAAGAATTACCACAGATGACGAAAAACCATATCTTTGCATGAACATGTTATTCTTCTGTCCATTCAGGTAATTGACCGTCATCTGCAAAGAAGTTATAAAACCAACAATGTTATCTTCACGTTCTATGCAGTATTAATGAAAATGAGCACACATGGAAGAGAAAATTACCAGCCTAAGACATCTTTTGGCAATTGACAACTAGTCAATCATGGCCAAGAAATGTTATTACATGTGTAAGGTTATTGACATCATACAAAAATGTAACGAGTTCAAAACATAACGATTAAATTGGGACCAAAAACAGATACATTACTGCAATGATCATTGAAATTTACCACCATACTTTCCATAGTAACTCTATTGCACACTGAACGGCTCCAAAGGCCATGAAAATGTTGTTTAACTGCATTTTTTTTTTTTTTTTGATAAGTTTGTTTAACTGCATTTCATTGCTAATGAGTTTAATCTTAAGAATTTTCAAAGTTGAAATGCTACTAGTAATATTTAGTCACAGATGATCAACTTCCTTTTAACAAACTCTTCAGTGCACATACATTTACTTTAGTGGTTTCTACCGATAATGCAAGGACATCAAGTTGGATTAACAATTTGCAAAGGTTCAAATGAACCCTAGATCATGTTTTAGAATTTTGAGTGGTCATAATGAATATATTTGTGACGTCGCACATTGCTTTGGGGGAAAAGTTGCTGGCACTTATATGTGTGGATGCATCCTAATTATGTAGATGACCACGAGCACGAAGAGTGCACAAAGCAGACAATATCTACACAGGGCAGGTTGTGACAGACGGTATTAGAGCCATTGCCCAGTTGGCGATGGGGGGAGCGTACACAAGCCCATGAGGGTTAGGCCAATGAGGACGTTAGGTCCCAAGAGGTGGATGCCTCCTAATTGTGTAGATGTGTTTTGAAAACCGTGAGCACGGAGAGTTTGCAAAGCGGACTATATCTACACAGCGAGGCTGGGTGTGAAGGATGGTATCAAAGCTAATCACCAGCCAAAAATGGGAGAGCATGTACAAGCCCATGAAGGTCAAGCCAGCAAGGACGATGGGTCCCAAAAGGGAGTGTCCCAAATTGCCTTTGGGAGAAGTTTTCGGAACTTATATGTTTGAATGCCTCCTAATTGTCGTGACAATATTTTCGTCAAATTTCTTTTTAGAAAATACAATATATGTTTTCCCGAAGGCCTAAGTTTAGTTTATGGGTGGAATGACTGTGCTGGTAGTGTTCTGGTTAACCAGAATCAGATTTGCTATCCTGGTCAGTGTGTAGGACTTAGAAATCTATATAAGGTTCACTGTCCAGGCTAATTTGAACAAATTTCATATTTTTTTCATCAACTATAAAGGAAACCATCAACTTAGATTAGCCGCTTGATGCAGTAATCAACCATGTCAAACCAGCATTCTTATCCTGCACTGTCTCTTATTCTATGTTTGGCTTTTGGTTCCACATAGCTATCAGCTTATTATTGTCATCCATCACAAGAAAGGTAACTTCAGATCTATTGTATTAATATTTTCACAGCAGCAAGACAAAGAAAAAAATATATAAAAAAAGATAACAAAAAAATATCAATTGAATAACTTGTGAAGAAATATTGTATTCGACACCAATATCACATGTTGCGATTGATGATGCTTGAGTTCTTTGACACGTGATAAAATCAAATTTCATAAATGAATATTTTGGTTTTTTCAGAAATAGATTATAACTATTAACCTGTAAACTAGCAATTCGATGAAATCTACACGTAGTCAACATGTATATGCATCCACACACACACACTTCGTCTATACAAAATTATATTCTTAAAATAAATATATCAAAACAAACAAATAAACTTTTAGTGTATAGAGCAATAGTTTCGAACTATCAAATCAAGTTGGTCCTTCAAGACATAGGATGTTCGAACTTATTAGTCCTGAGAATATTTAAGGGATCCTTCTACATATAATTTTGTCAATTGTTACTGTGAACAACTTAAATGCCCAATGGTCGACATGCAAATGCATGAAAACTAGAAAGTACAGAAATTCTCTAAAGCCTATATTACATATAAGCTGTATCCGCATTGAGCATAATGCCTACATTAATAATTGCAAATTTATACCTGCAACTGTGAAGGTAAGGATTTCAAATGTGGCAAGATCAAAGCCATTTCGAATTTTTGACCAGATTTTATATAAAGAAAGAAGTGAATAACATATTGCATGTTAGCTTTTAAGAGGGAAACTAATTGCGTTGGAATCTCAAACCAAATTGAATATCCAATGGCTACCAGTTCCCACAATGTTTGCATCAATGCAATACTATTTACAGAATTACTGGTAAAAAGTTCACAAATTTTATTATGGGAATTTCCATGTTAAACATTTCTGGCTGACCAGGACTACCACTTGAAAAACCTGTAGGAAAGATACAGGTTCTGTTATAAGTAATAGAAAATCTTCAACTATCTATTTCACGAACTTAAATAATGGATGAACGATGCTTTATTGCCTTTTCTTTCTTGTTTACCGTATCTTTATTCACTCAACAGAACTTCTCCGAGTCCTATTTGCATGTGTCTTTGTAAAAAGAAAGAAAGAAACAAAAAAATATATATATAAATTCAGCATATAAAAATATATATATAAATTCAGCATATAAAAATATATCGAAGTATACCTCCTCTCCTTTTTTAATACGTTGTCCAGCATTTATCATCACCTCAAGCATTCGATCCTTGAAACGCCAATGAAAAAAACAATTTGGCTGAAAGGAATGGTTTAGCATGTCTGCGAAATATGACCAAGTTTATTCAATAGGTGATGAAGAACAAAGTAGCCAAGATAACTAATATTCCATAGCAAAAATTTCATCGATGAGAACTCAACTGATACATTATTATACAAAAGAAGAAGTTTTGGATTTTGGCTTACTCAAACCGAGAGCCAAGAGTTATATTTATTTACAAGAATAGGGTACAAAGAAAGGAAACTAAATCAAAAAAAAAAAAAAAAAACAGAAAATATGCCAAAATCTACGTGATCCCATGATTATGAGGATCTTATCTACATGATCCCATGATTAAGGGGATCTTATCTACGTAATCCCATGATTACAGGGATCTTAAATAAAATACCTAATAAAAGGTTAAAAACAGCTAATAAAAATAATAATAATAAAGATATTTCAACACTCCCCCTCAAGCTAGAGTGAAGATATCAATCAAGCCCAGCTTGGTAATCGAGGAATGAAGCAAAGATAGACAAACGGATTGTTAATCAGAGATAATGGAGTCAAAGCAGAATTTCTGATGATGGAAACGATGCACTCCCTTTGGTTTTCATTACAATTTATATTACAAGATTTGCCAAACAAGTGGCTACAATCAAGGAGGAGTAATTGCAGTATGTATCTAAAAGGTAAATCACCAAATCAAATCCCAGAATTACAGCAACTATATCAAGGTAAGTCAATGCTAGCTAATATAATCCTAAATGTAAGGCATGATGATGCGGATTCTGATAAAGTAACAATTTGGTCGTTTGTAATTCATGACGTAGACGAGATAAGGCTTTGGTGAACAAATCTGCAAGCTGGTTCTCAGAGGAAACATGAGGAAGCTGTATAGAACCTGTGAGAACATGGTGCCGAATAAAATGGCAGTCTACGTCTATATGCTTGGTCCTTTCATGAAACACTGGATTATTAGCAATCTGTATAGCACTCGTGTTGTCAACATAGAATGGAGGAGGACCATGAATTGGAATTCCAAGTTCCCGAAGAAGTCTACGAAGCCATTTCACCTCTCCACTAGCAGATGACATAGACTTGTATTCAGCCTCGGCTGAGGATTTAGAAACTGTTGGCTGCTTTTTGCACTTCAAGAGATTAGAGATGACCCCAAAAACATACACCAACCAGTTTTAGAGCATCGTGTATCTTGGCAGCCAGCCCAATCAGTATCAGCTTAACTGTGAAGTGCCAAGGAAGAGGTGGAAGAGTAAAAGAGCCCTCAATCAAGAGTTCCCCGAATATAACGAAGAATACAATGAACAGCAGCTAGATGGGGCTTATGAGGATTACTAATAATTTGAACTGCATGAGATATATCTGGACAAGTCATACTGAGATAGATCAAGCTTCCCACAAGACGACGATATATAATAGCATCGGGAAGAGGAGGTCCATCATCTTTGTGTAGCTTAGCATTCAACTCCAATGGTGTATCACATGGTTTTGAATCCGTTAGATGAGCCAAGGATAATAAGTCTTCAGCATATTTCTTTTGCCGAATGCAAATACCATCTTTGGAACGAGAAACTTCCAATCCTAGGAAGTATGTGAGAGGTCCCAAATCCTTCATTTTAAAGGATTGCATTAAGTAGGTCTTCAGACAGGTAATTCCAGATTCATCATTTGATTCATTTCCCGTAATGATCATATTATCAACATATAATAGTAACCATGTAGAACCTCAAGTTGTGCGCTTAACAAACAAGGAGTTATCATTAACACTGGTGAAATCCAGCTTTGATGATGGCACTGCGAAATTTTTCAAACCATGCACGAGGAGCTTGCTTAAGACCGTAAAGAGATTTGTGCAAGTGGCAAACATGTTTGGGAGGACAGACATATCCTGGTGGTGGCTTCATAAAAACTGTCTAATGAAGATCTCCATGCAAAAATACATTTTTAACATCCATTTGCCAAAAAGGCCATCCTCGAATGGCAACAACGGCGAGTAAAGTTAGAACTGTGGGCATCTTAGCAACCGGAGCAAATGTTTCTTCATAATCGATAACATACTCTTGTTTATATCCTTGAGCAACAAGGCGAGCCTTGTATCGTTCCAAACTACCATCAGGTTTCAACTTCAATGAGTAAATCCATTTACTTCCAATTACTAGAACTCCATAAGGCCGGGAATTAAATCCCAAGGGTGATTTGATTCAAGAGCAATTAATTCTTCTGTCATAGCATCTTGCCAACATGGTAGATCTTTGGCTTGTGAATAAGATGAAGGAACATACATAGAATTTACATTGGAAAGGAGGGCAGAAAATCCAAAGCGGTCAGGCAGTTTAGAAACAAGAGAAGACCAACGTGATGAAGGTGGCACGGATGAGTGATCGGGAGCAGAAGCAGATGTAGGAGGGCGTTGCAACCTTTGACTATAAACCTGCAATTCTTTAGTATAGTTTTTATTTTTTTATAAGTAATAATAACATAAAAAGGCATTCAAAAGGGGAACGTGTCCCTTGTACAAAAATGGAACAGGGGCTAACGCCCCAAAGAATCCAAAAAAATAATTAAATCATCAGAAGAAGAGCAAGAACTCCTCTTCACATAATTGAAAAGAGAACGAAGAATGTGATGTTTCACCATTGCCGTAGACGACTCTTTATCTTCAAACATTGTACTATTTCTCTCCTTCCAAATACACCACCAAACATAATGTGCGATGACTCTCCAGAAATCGCGAACATCCCTTCTCACGTGACATCCTCTCTATACATGAATCAATTCCTTAGTAGATCGTGGCATACCCAACACATGCCAAACAACCCGAAAATAAGATTCCAACAGTCATTCGCCACAGGACAATGCATAAGGAGGTGATCAACAGACTCCCCATTTTTCTTGCATAGACAGCACCGATTAACAATACAATTGCCCCTTTTCCTTAAATTATCAATTGTTAAAATCTTTCCCCAAACAGCAGTCCAAACAAAGAAAGCCACCCTAGTTGGAGCCATGGATCGCCAAATAGTTTTCCACGGGAAAACATAATTAACAAAATGAGATAGACATAAGAACAGGGATCTTACTTCGAAACGACTGTGGGAAGAAGGAACCCAAATCAAATCATCATTTCCTCTGCCAACACCCTCTTGCCGATACAGAAGATCCAAAAAAACACAAAACTCATCTATCTCCCAATCCTGAAAAAAGCGCCGAAAGTGCACATCCCATGTAATCCCACTGCTATCAAGACGATAACAATCAGCTATAATGGTGTGTTTATCAATTGCAATACTAAATAATCTAGGAAATGAATGAGATAGTGGCTGATCACAACACCAAAGATCATCCCAAAACCAAATGCGATGTCCATCACGAACTTTGAATCTGATATGAGCAGAAAAGGCGTCCCAACCCTTCCGAATAGACTTCCACATTCCTACTCCTCCCACAAGAGTAACCGAACATGTAGACCAACCTCCATCTTCTTCCCCAAACCGACGGGAAACTAACCTACGCCAAGGACGGTGTCTTTCCCTTCCATATCTCCATAACCATTTACCCAGGAGGGCTTGATTGAAAGGAACTATTCGTCTTATGCCAAGTCCATCCAATTTCACAGGCTTGCAAACTTGCTCCCATTTGACAAGGTGATACTTAAACTCATCTCCCCTTCCTTCCCACAGGAAATCCCTTTGAATTTTTTCAATCCTATCCGCAACAGAACAAGAGATTTGGAACATAGAAAGAAAATAAGCGGGAAGGCTCGATAACGTACTCTTAATAAGAGTAACTTTACCCCCCTTGGACAAATATTACTTTTTCCATCCTGTTAATCTCTTTGCATACCTGTCAATCACTGAATCCTAACTCCCCATTATCCTTGAAGAGACCCCTAAGGGCAACCCCAAATAAGGAATAGGAAAAGAACCCACTCTGCATCCAAGAACTGCAGCTAAGGAGGAGATATCCTGAACATTCCCTACTGGGACAAGCACACTCTTAGCCACATTGACCTTAGCCCGAAGACCACCTGAAAACAAGTTAGGATGCACCTCAAATAACGAAGTTGAGACACATCAGCATCACAGAAAACCAGGGTATCGTTTCCGAAAAGTAAATGAGAAATCTCCATCTGATGGGCTAAATCTCTACCCACTCTGAAACCCTTAATAAAGCCAAGATCCTCTACCCTGCACATAAGTCTGCTTAATCCCTCCATAACAACAAGAAAGAGGAAAGATGACAAAGGATCACCTTGTCTTATGCCCCGGGTGCAACCAAAGAAACCAGCAGGAGAGCCATTCACAAGAATAAAAAATTTGATAGATGAAAGACAAGTCTCAATCCACTTCCTCCATTTGTTTCCAAACCTAATTCTTTGTAACAAATAGAGTAGGAAATTCCAATTCACATGATCATATGCTTTCTCAATATTAAGTTTGCATAAAACTTCAGGAATACCGCTTCGCAATATAGAATCCACACATTCGCCAGCAATAAGAACTGAATCAAGAATTTGTCATCCTCCAACAAAGGCGTTCTGGGAGTCCGAAATAATCCCATCCATTACTTCCCTCATCCTTAGAGCAAGCACCTTAGCAATAAGTTTGTAAATACAACCCACTAAACTAATCGGACGGAAATCCTTTATGTCAAAAGCGCCTCCTTTCTTGGGGATAAGGGTAATAAATGAAGCATTAAGTGACTTCTCAAAGACACCAGAAGAATGAAATTCCTGAAAAGGACCCATTACCTCATGTTTTACTATCACCCAACTTTCCAACAAAAAACGCATAGTAAAACCATCAGGCCCGAAGCTTTGTCCCAGTTACAACTTGATAAAGCCTTTAGAACTTCTTCTTCAGTAAAAGGATTCTCAATCCTATCTCTATCCAGCTCAGATAAAGCCTCAAAATGGAGACCATCAAGTTTAGGTCTCCAAGCTAAAGGCTCGGTGTAAAGCTTCTGATAAAAAGAAGCAATCTCATTACGCACCTCCTCCTCTCTCCACAACTCCACACCTTCCACCCGAATTCTTCCAATA